TGGGATTGACCGTCACATTATAACGCCCCCACGGCTGAAAGGGCGAGCATGTTTGGTGAGACGGGGATTTGAACCCGCGGGCCCATGTTTAATGAACGAATATGCTTTTGTTAGTCTTAGAATATTATTAAGCATACTCAATCATGCTTTTTTAATTTGAAACTGATCTAAAAAAATCACGAGAGTTAAGTGTCTAATTGAGGATAAACAAGCAGGGAACTGTATTTAAAAAAATCTTGGAAATATGTGCATTAACGTTTTTCATGAAATATAATTGTTAAAATAAAACATTTATTCAAATTATCTTAAGAAAGACAAGTAAAGGAACGAAATATTACTTTTTTTTTCTTAAGGACAATTTATGTCTTATTATTACACGAAGGTAATTTAAACATAAAGTATTATGGCGTTGTTACTGTCAACAGCAATATCATTTATTACGGTTCCGCCATCTAGCAGAACAAGTTCTAATTAACGTAGATAAAAACCGTTAAATTGTAACATTTAATACTATGTTTGAAATAAATATTAGAATCAATGAAAAATTATGAACTTATACACGATTTTGCCATTTCAGTTTTTAATACTTTTATCAGGCGGAAACAGGAGTATAGGTAAATAAAAAGGTCATCATGACAATATTACAAACATTTTTCAGATAATTTGAAAGCTACAAATACCATTACTAGCAATGCATACAAGGAAATTGCAGTATGACAATATTTAAAGAAGGTATTACACGAACAAAAAGGAAAATCAAAAACCATCTTGATATTTCTGTATCGTGGACATAGAGTGGACATGCATTAACCAAAAGTTACTACTACTACTACTACTACTACAAGGAGCTTTCGAACCACTTCTCATGATTTACAAACTACTTTCTACTTTCAAGAGCCATCTACAAATATAATTATGCTGAAATGTAAAGCTACCCATATCGGTAAACAATGTGTCAATTAAAAACATATACCTATGTGTGAGTTTCTAATAAAGCTGATCAGAAACTTTCATTCATATGCTGTGAAACTTGGGATCAACTTATTTCCATCAATCATTTTCAAACAATTATTTCATGATCATCCAACTTCTCCTTAAAAGACGTTTACTAATTACGAATTAAAACCAACTATTTGTAATAGCTGCATGACTATTCTAGTTTTAATTATTATTTTTGTTTTTGTATGTTCTTTAAAATTCAGCACATTTCAATACTTTTTGAATTTTTATGTAACTTATATATTACATTTGGATTGCATATAATAAGAATTATGTAATAAAAATTTAAAAGCCATGATAATTCTTATTTTAACATGATCAATCTTAAGATTTAACACAATTTTAAAAGAGGCTATATTTATATACTTATAAGCTGAAGCGGTGGCTGTTATACAGGTGAAGACACAATTCATATAAAAATGCAATACTTATAGGGTCACACAAATTGTTTAATTATATCACAGAACATGAATAAACATACTGAACACATTTAAATATCAATTGAAGTGAGGCTGAAATGATAAGAGAAAAATTCACAAGTTCTGTTATCTGGAGGAAAGCAGTTGCTGGTGAGAAGGACATTGCGAGCTGATTCTTTGTTTCACCACTGAATAAAAAGGAAAAACCACAATTAAAACATTTTGTAAAAACGCCATATGATCTCAACATATCTAATTAATGTATTTACACCTGTACAGTCAACTTGTGACTATGAAACTTTTGTTTGATTTTAAGTACAAAGTTATCTGTGATCGTCCTATTGCCAGTATCGAAACCTGATATTTAGCGTTATAAACCCCCAGAATTACCATTGAGCCAGCGGGGGTAGCTGTGTTGCTTGATAAATACTTATACATTAAGCAAAGGTATAGTCTGGTGTAAAGGAAGTTTCTTAAAAGTGTGTGAAACTAAGAGTTAGCGTTATTTTTTATTTCATTTTTACTTCTTAACTTGACTTTTGAATGCATTATCATTATTCAACCAAGACAATGATTTGTAAGCAAAATACTTAATCTGACACCTTTATATATTTTTTATTCTTTTGTTTAACCACATTACCATACTTAAAAAGTTTTACCACTAGATAAACTTGAGTAACTAATCGATAACTAAGCATAAAACGATTTTTCTCATAACAATTATAATACAGCTCATGTGTTTATAGAATACGATTGACCTACGAATAGATACAATTTAATAATTATTATATATATATATACTTGAGACACTACAAAAAAAAACTTTTTGCCATAAAATGATTTTTATCTGTTTAATTATCTGTGAATTAACCGAAGTTACGTATAAGCAAATAATTGATGATTTGGAAAGAGATGATTTGATTATGATGCTATTAATTAGCAGAGCACCCCTCCCCCCCTCTCACGGTGGCTCAGCGGTAAGCTAGAGGGCTTCTAACGTTAAGAATCGGGGGTCGATAGCCGTGGTGGGCACAGCGCAGATAGCCCATTGCTTAGCTTAGCGATTAACAATAAACAAACAAATAATCATCAGAAATTACTCAGATTAATTGCTATAAAACTACTCATGGCTTAGATTAATTGTTATAAAACTACTCATGGCTCAGATTAAATGCTATAAAACTACTCATGGCTCAGATTAGTTGCTATAAAACTACTCATGGCTTAGATTAATTGTTATAAAACTACTCATGGCTCAGATTAAATGCTATAAAACTACTCATGGCTCAGATTAGTTGCTATAAAACTACTCATGGCTCAGATTAATTGCTATAAACTACTCATGACTCAGATTAATTGCTATAAACTACTCATGGCTCAGATTAATTGCTATAAACTACTCATGACTCAGATTAATTGACTATAAACTACCTATGGCTCAGTATTAATTGACTATAACTACTCATGACTCAGATTAATTGCTATAAACTACTCAT